CCCCACCCCTTAGCCCGGGGGGTCAGCCCCACCATTTGTACAATTTTGAATCCCTGCCTCCCATGAATGCTTCCGACCAAATATGATCAATATCCATGGTATAGTTCTACAGTAGAAGTCGTTTATAGCAATATAGCAAAATTGCCCCCTTTTTGGCCCCGCCCTCAGCCCCACCATTTGTATAATTTTGGATCCCCACCACCTAGGGATGCTTCCAGTCAAATATGGTTGATATCCACCTCTTAATTTTAGAGAAGAAGTCGCTTAAAGCAATATTGCAAAATTGACCCCTTTTTGCCCCGCCTCTCAGCCCCCTGGGGGTCACCTCCATCATTTGTACAATTTTGAATCCCTGCATTCTAGGGATGCTTCCAGTCAAATATGGTTGATATCGACTTCTTAGTTCCAGAGAAGAAGTCGCTTAAAGCAATATAGCCAAATTGAATTCTTTTGGCCCCGCCCTTCAGCCCCCTAGGGGGTCAGCCCAACCATTTGTACAAGTTTGAATCCCCACCACCTAAGGATGCTTCGAGTCAAATATGGTTGATATTCATGGCATAGTTCTACAGTAGAAGTCGTTTGTAGCAATATAGCCAAATTACCCCTTTTTGGCCCCACCCCTCAGCCCCCTTGGGGGTCAGCCCAACCATTTGTACAATTTTGAATCTCCACCACCTAGGGATGCTTTCAGTCAAATATGATTGATATCCATCTCTCAGATCCAGAGAAGAAGTCGCTGAAAGCAGTATAGCCAACTTGTTCCCTTTTTGCCCCGCCCCTCAGCCCCCTGGGGGGTCAGCCCCATCATTTGTACAATTTTGAATCCCCACCACCTAGGGATGCTTCCAGTCAAATATGGTTGATATCCACTTCTTAATTCCAGAGAAGAAGTCGCTTAAAGCAATATAGCCAAATTGACCCCTTTTGGCCTCGCCCCTCAGCCCCCTGGGGGGTCAGCCCCACTATTTGTACAAATTTGAATCCCCACCACCTAGGAATGCTTCCAGTCAAATTTAGTTGAATTCCAATCAGTGGTTAAGAAGAATAAGTCGTTTAAAGAAATTGTTGACGTACGGACGACGGACGCAACGGTATGGCATAAGCTCACCTTGGTCCTTCGGACCAGGTGAGCTAATAAATGTATAAATGTCAACTGTAAAGATATGTATGACGTAGTTGTAAAACTACAGAAATACAAACAAACATATCTTGTAAATAAGCAATGGAAAGGAAGTGATCAAGAAAGACAAATTTTTCACAAACCGAAAGATGCCCTCCGCTTCTATTCCATATTTCCGTAAAAATTCCACACTGTGGGTTAGGATAAATGGGACTTTCCGGCAATATCTCCGCTCATAGGCCATAGTGTCCTGTAAACTTTGCCCAAAAATAGCTGAAAAGGAAAACAAATCTTATCTGAATCATATCTTTTATCTAGGATACATGCAGGAAAGACACACAAGTTCTCCTGCAATATCTGTGTACATAATTATAGGGTGATGGTCCAATCAAACATCCCCTTGCCTCACTTTCACTAGGCTAGACATCCCTATTTATCTCCGAATGTTTCTGTAATGATCTTTCAACTTATTACCACTGCATTTTCAGATGCTCTCATTCCTCTAACAACCATGCAGATGTCTGATCCTTCAGCTTACCCCAATCAAACCTTTAGGTGTCCCTACCCTCTAAATTACCCCAATCAAACCTTTAGGTGTCCCTACCCTCTAACTTACCCTAATCAAACCTTTAGGTGTCCCTACCCTCTAACTTACCCCAATCAAACCTTTAGGCGTCCCTTCCCTCTAACTTACCCTAATCAAACCTTTAGGTGTCCCTACCCTCTAACTTACCCCAATCAAACCTTTAGGTGTCCCTACCCTCTAACTTACCCAAATCAAAACTTTAGGTGTCCCTACCCTCTAACTTACCACTACCAAACATTTTGGGGTCACCATCCTGTATTTTACCACTACTAAACATTCTGAGGTCACCATCCTCTTACTTACCACTATCATTCATTTAAAAGCCTCTCTACTCTAGCTTACCATCACCTATTAAATATTTTTATATATATGTCACCATCCTCTAAATTTCCACTATCATTCATTAAGATGCCTCTCTAGTCTAGCTTACCATCACCTATTAAATATTTATTTATATATGTCACCATCCTCTAAATTTCCACTATCATTCATTAAGATGCCTCTCTACTCTAGCTTACCATCACCTATTAAATATTTATTTAAATATGTCACCATCCTCTAAATTTCCACTTTCATTCATTAAGATCCCTGTCTACTCTAGATTACCATCACCTATTAAATATATATATATATATATATATATATACGTCACCATCCTCTATCTTACCTGCTCCAAACATTTAGATGCCTCTCTACTCCAGCTTATCATCATCTATTAAATATTCGTATATATGTCACCATCATCTATCTTACCACTACGAAACATTTAGATGCCTCTATACTCTAGCTTACCATCACCTATTAAATATATATATATATATGTCACCATCCTATATCTTACCTCCACCAAACATTTAGATGCCTCTCTACTCTAGCTTACCATCCCCTATTAAATATTTATATATATGTCACCATCCTCTATCTTACCTCCTCCAAACATTTAGATGCCTCTCTACTCTAGCTTACCATCCCCTATTAAATATTTATATATATGTCACCATCCTATATCTTACCTCCTCCAAACATTTAGATGCCTCTCTACTCTAGCTTACCATCCCCTATTAAATATTTATATATATGTCACCATCCTCTATCTTACCTCCTCCAAACATGTAATGCCTCTCTACTCCAGCTTATCATCATCTATTAAATATTCGTATATATGTCACCATCATCTATCTTACCACTACGAAACATTTAGATGCCTCTATACTCTAGCTTACCATCACCTATTAAATATTTATATATATGTCACCATCCTCTATCTTACCTCCTCCAAACATTTAGATGCCTCTCTACTCTAGCTTACCATCCCCTATTAAATATTTATATATATGTCACCATCCTATATCTTACCTCCTCCAAACATTTAGATGCCTCTCTACTCTAGCTTCCCATCACCTATTAAATATATATATATATATGTCACCATCCTCTATCTTACCTCCTCCAAACATTTAGATGCCTCTCTCCTCTAGCTTACCATCACCTATTAAATATATATATATATGTCACCATCCTATATCTTACCACTACCAAACATTTAGATGCCTCTATACTCTAGCTTACCATCACCTATTAAATATATATATATATATGTCACCATCCTCTATCTTACCTCCTCCAAACATTTAGATGCCTCTCTACTCTAGCTTACCATCCCCTATTAAATATTTATATATATGTCACCATCCTCTATCTTACCTCCTCCAAACATTTAGATGCCTCCCTACTCTAGCTTACCATCACCTATTAAATATTTATATATATGTCACCATCCTCTATCTTACCTCCTCCAAACATTTAGATGCCTCCCTACTCTAGCTTACCATCACCTATTAAATATATATATATATATGTCACCATCCTATATCTTACCTCCACCAAACATTTAGATGCCTCTCTACTCTAGCTTACCATCCCCTATTAAATATTTATATATATGTCACCATCCTATATCTGACCTCCACCAAACATTTAGATGCTTCTCTACTCTAGCTTACCATCACCTATTAAATATATATATATATGTCACCATCCTATATCTTACCACTACCAAACATTTAGATGCCTCTCTACTCTAGCTTACCATCCCCTATTAAATATTTATATATATGTCACCATCCTATATCTTACCTCCACCAAACATTTAGATGCCTCTCTACTCTAGCTTACCATCCCCTATTAAATATTTATATATATGTCACCATCCTATATCTTACCTCCACCAAACATTTAGATGCCTCTCTACTCTAGCTTCCCATCACCTATTAAATATATATATATATATGTCACCATCCTCTATCTTACCTCCTCCAAACATTTAGATGCCTCTCTCCTCTAGCTTACCATCACCTATTAAATATATATATATATATGTCACCATCCTATATCTTACCACTACCAAACATTTAGATGCCTCTCTACTCTAGCTTACCATCCCCTATTAAATATTTATATATATGTCACCATCCTATATCTTACCTCCACCAAAAGGTGCGTGCATGATTTTCCGGAGGGCTTTGATCCATGTGTCTCGTTCCTCGGCAGTGCCAGCCCATAAGAGAAACGTGTCATGGTTTGGTGTCATCTTGGCCTGGATGGGTCCTAAACAGTTTTAAAAATTTCATTATATTACATTTCTATACTTATCTGAAAGAAGAGGTCTATATTCAAATGTCAATGCCTCGGAATTTTTTTCTGTAAGAAAATGGTTTATTATACATTTGTAGCACAGATTTTAGAATCGCTATCAAAGAAAGCCTTGTGAGCATGCTGTTATGTTTTTTTCAAAATCAGCCAAACTTGAAACACCGCTTGGAACTACAAGTTCCTATGGTGGCCTACTTGTGCCATTTTGTTATTTCATCTTTTAGTCCCAAAAAGACAAGATTTGATAGTTAGCTTATATCTCATTCACTTGTCTTCTCTCAATTTTTCATCCTGAAAAGACAAAAAGATGACAAATTACATACAAAAAGACAAAAAAAACACACTAATTAGCGCCCTCCTAATCTTGTTTTTTCGCAGTAGAAATCATGTGCTGTCATTGTTTAGTCTTGACAGCTTTATTAATTCTTCTCTTTTCACGGCAAAAAGACGACAAATCTCCAATGAGAAAACGCAAATTAAAAGGTTACTAATAAGTGTACATTCTTTTTGTCTTTTTGCATGTGACTTTTCATCTTTTGGGGGAAAAAAGACGAATAAGTGAGATTTAAACAAACTATCTAATGTTGTGTTTTTGTGGCGGGACAATGAGAATTAAAGGTTACTTGATCTTATCTTTTCACCCCGAAACAACGCAACGGTACAAATCAGCCACAATAGGAACACGTATATCAAGTTTCCTCATCATCCTCTCATTTGTTCTTGACAAATAGCGGTAACAAACTTGACATAATACATTCAAGATGACTCCCTAGTGGCACTTTTGCTTATGCATGACTATAGACCAAAGGAATCATGCATAACAAGTTTAACCATGATTCTAGAAGTCGTTCCTGAGAAAACTCATTTCAAAGAAATAAATATAGGCTGACTGGATGATGGACAGGCATAGGACCACGAGTGAACAATTATTTTAACAACCCATCACCTCATTATAGTGGGATATATAAAACATCATGTTTCTAGAAAACTTGATACATGTATTAAGCGAAAAATGACAAAAAGCAGTAAGAAAATAAGTGGACTGTACTCATTTACAGTATATGAATAAGTTGACTGCACTGGTATATTTTACAGCATACAAATTCGTGGGTTGTACTGGTATGGACTGTATCGGTATGTTTTAGAGTATACATGTATAAATTAAGTCTAGGATGAATATATTTATGTAGTAAGGATTGTCACCATCACCAAACTGACTATTATACAGTATTCAGAAACAAAGTCATTAATGGTGGGTTGTTTTCATGCAAAATTAAGAAATGAAATTGATACTTCATTTATTTGATGTCTACTTTGTCCATGTATTAAAGATATCAAATAACCACCACTAACTAATATAGTAAAAAAAAACTAAAAAAACGAGCTTAAAATAATGAGTAGAAAACAACTATAAAGAGACCAAAAGGACCTGAATTTCACAAACTCTACATTGTCAAAGCCAATATTAAGGTTTCCTCTGCAATACAGTTGGAATATCAACTGTTTTTATGTTATGACCCAGGAATGAAGTCCTCAGGGGCCAGGCTGGACTCTTGGGCAAATCTTAGTGGATTTGTGTTTGTTTTTCATGCTCAGCAAATACATGATTATTGGGCGGGGATATCAACTGTCTCAATGTTATGACCAGGGACTACATCTGTAAGTCAGGTTTGACCCGAGACCATATGTGTATTTATCTTTTCCTTCTTAGCAGTTGCATATGTGGTTATAGGTTCCAGAATTTGACCCTTTCCATGTTGTGATCCAGGGACTAAGTCTTCAGGTAAAAGGCCAAACCCCAGGGCAAAATTCAAGTAGCATGATTGTATTTGCCTCTTCAAGCCCAGCTAGCAGGTATTTGTTTATAGGGTTGGAATCACAACCATTTCCAAGTGATTACCCTTTTTGGCTCCAACCCTCAGCCCCTTAGGGTCAGTCCCTCTGTTAGTACATTCTTAAATTCAATTATCCACTTGAAGATGCTTTCAACTATATACCAGGTATAGTTAATATTCATTCTACAGTTTCAGAAAAGTGGATTTCAGCAATATAGGGGTCAGCCTCTTAAGTTGTACAACTGGAAATCCCAACCAATATAGGGATCAGTCTCTTAAGTTGTACAACTGGAAATCCCAACCACTTTAGGGGTCAGCCTCTTCAGTTGTACAACTGGAAATCCCAACCAATATAGGGGTCAGCCTCTT